GGTCTGTTTTGTTGCCGAGGTACAGAATGTCCTATTATTGTACTTTGATGATTGAAACAAAAAGCGTTAAGTGTCTGTCAGAATTAGATTTAGAGTTTGCCTGAAAAGACCGCACACAAGGACAAAATTGTCAGTACCTTCCATAAAGCAAAGAAAATACATTGGACACGGATATAAGCTGAAATTGACAAAAGTTGTCAATAGTGGTCGAGGCAATAAATGTTTACTGAACACTAATTAAAACCAAACACTGCTTGTTTTTGTGGTCCAACTATATTTAGCTTAAAAATAAAGTAAAAAAATGAAACTGGTCTGGGTGAATGGGATACGACCTTGAACTTAATATTTTGTTGCACAACCTTGTGAGGCAATCACCTCAATCAAGCAATTCCTCGAACTCTCAATGAGATTTACGCACCTTTCGACAGTTATTATTTCACCAAACAGAGAACCGGATCAGACACATGCAAGGCATCAGAGTGAAAGGTGCATATTCAGAGCCGCACCTTTTGGGCTGCCTTGCTCAAAGGCACGTTGACAGTGGCCAGGAAGCAGACCGACGTCTCTGCAGCATTTAGTTGCTATCTTTTTAATTTGGGGCGCAGTGAGTTTGGAACGGCGACCCCCCCTGGTTTCCAAAGCCAACTCCCCACAGATGAGCTTCTAGCGTACTGGAGCTAACTGCTCCAGCTGTCTCATTTGAGTGACGAAAGGGTACCAACATTTCTGCTGCACTGAGAGGTGTTGGTGTTTTGAGTTTACAGCAAAACTGAAAGACTTGGCTTGAGTGTTAAAATACTTTCAGTGGTGCTTTATGAGATAAGCTAGAACACGATGCAATTAGGCACATTTTTCGCGGGGAACAAAGCTGCCCGTTTACCAATTTCCAAACACAAAATGCAGGCAGTGGCCGTTCAGCCAACCTGGATCACAGAATTACACCGCATGGCTGAAATTCAAGTGGTTTAAGCTTTGCATGCAACAACTGAGGCCTGATCTACTAAGATCCCAAACAGCGCGCTCTAAATTGCGTGCTGACAAAGACAGACTGATGAGCTATTTTAAGAACAAACCAAAGGCTACCCATGCGGTCGGTGGGGGCACCAGGTTGGTGTGGGAGTTGATTCGAGACTAAAGTTCATAGTTGATATCTCCCAAGCAAACTACAGCACAACAGTCTCGGTTTTATTTTTTTCCTCCTTTCGTAGTGACTTCAGGTAGCGCTTCAGATAAGCAACACGCACACTCCTGGGACGACTGGGCAGTTTTTATTTGGGAGAGAAGGAAGTAGATCACCTTCTGCATTGGTTTGCCAGCGCAATCAAGTTGATGCCCGATTTTTGCACACACATATCTTTCGTAAATGGTGCCCTTGGTCTCTTAAAAATGAAAAAGCCTAAGGGAAAAATTAAGCAAAACATAAAAGCAAGACATACGTTGCAGCTGTTGGAGGACTAAAGTTATCTTATTTATGATTCCGGGTTGATAACGCGAAGACAATTTGACCCATTTTGTTATGCAGTTTATAAAGACAAACTGCAAATAGCAGGAAAGTAAAATCATGAAATGCATGTAACGTGAGTTTCACTTCATCATCATCGGTCACGTCTCAATCCATCAGTCAAGGTTTCCTTTGATTTAGGGGCATTTTTACAGTGCGGTGCATCAAGATATGGCTCCACAGCAACCAACGTCCAACTCGGAACGACCTCCGAGCGGTGTTGGGCGTGCCTTCGGGCTACGAACAGTTCCCAGTGAACGGCCGACAACTGGGTCTGCAGGTACCCGGGTCGCTGCAGCTTTAGGAGCCGCTTTGGGACCCAGTTGGAGGTCGCTCAACAACAACAACAACAACAGCAACCAACAAGGGGCTACACACATGACGCATCTTCTTTCTCACACGTAGGCCTTGAAAGGCTTTCATGCATTTTTTGGCACGATAAGAACGCCCTTAGCGAACACTCATTCTATGAAGTGTCCCTCCCACAATTCTGGCTGTCCGTCCGTCTTGCTGCACTATTAATTATGCAGCCTTATCAGTGTGGCCCACGCCTGCCGTGGGGAGTAGGGTGGGGTGGGGGAGGCAGACTACATCAAGTGCAGGCATACCATCTGTGGTATTTCTTGTCCCACCAAAGATTCAAGGACAATCTCAAGAGTTTCATGAACATGCCATGCATGTTTTTGGAATGTGGAAGTGAGTTGTAATTAATGCATCTGGAGCACGTTAGTGCACCACAGAGAATCGTCTTTTCGGAGAGATGTATGCAAGATAGAAATCAGGTTGACGTAGCTGATGATTTGTTGTTCCTTGAATTTAACTTTGATAATTTGGGCCTTTTGACAGCTTTTACATGTTCCATATTAATAAAACATGACAAAAGCTATAGCCGTACAAGATCAAATTGAATCATAAACCCACTGGGTGGTGATGGGTCCAGCAGTACTGATGCCGCAAGCTCACAGAGCAATGCCCGCGTCGGTGCGCATATCGCTTTAAGATGATCACGTGACCGATATATGAACTGCATCGACTCGGCAAAAACGCGCCAAACTGTGACTATAAGGAAGCGTATCTGTCGAGGTGATGCAACTGCTGAAACAAGCCAAAACTCACGAGTGCTTGATGCGTTTGTGGATCACGGAACGGGCCCAGAAAAGGAAATTGTCTGCCGTGTGGGACCATTGTGATCTCATGTCGGACAATAAGGTACCCTGTATTTATTTTTAATCTTCTTGTTTGAACCGGTTCCTCTCAAAATTTCGCCATGTCTTGTTCCATTCTATTTCAAATCAATGTCAAGGTAATTATTAGTTGACTATTCAGACTTATTCACATCTTTTTTTTTCAGGTGTTAAATTACCCGTGTTAAACGCAGCTCCATCCTTATCGCCATGCAAAATGCTCAATTATCAATTTGACTATAATGCTAGCTTCCTGTGAAAACTAGCACAACGTCCCTCCCACTGGCTGTCTTTACTTCTCCAATATATGTATACACACACACACACACACACACACACACACACGATTGAAATACATTTTCAAGTGTATCTGGATGGAGGCACTCCATGTTCCGTTCATCATAATTACCATAGAGACTGAGCCTGAAGCTAAACTCATCCCCCTCCCCCCTCCCCACCAGTGGGAAACTGACAATTCTGTCTGCCATCATCACTGTGGCAACCGAGGCAACACCTTTTCTCACGTCACCTGGGAGCATGAATTTCATCATTGTGTGTCTGTATGCGTAATCTGTACAGCACCAGATCACCTCAAGCAAACAGTTTAACACAGATACACAGACGCAGCCGATTAGTCGCTCACAATCAGGTTGTTCAGGTAACATTTGATGTGTATATTGAGCTACAAATGTACGGTACTGTGGCTGTGCACGTAAACACACTGGCTCACAAAAAGACAAGGGCACTTGATTGAGTGTTGCATTTAGGACTCTCTGTAAAGAATCAGACTTCCCATTTCAAAACTCCGCTCCAGGTCTTGCTGGTCCCTCTCTTTGAAATGACCTCCCGCTAAATGTTAAGCAAGACCCCTCTCTGTCTAACTTTTTAAACATCTTGAAACACATTTTTATTCTACGGCTTTTGTTTCAGCATGACTCAGCATCGAACATTCATCCATTCATTTTCTGAACCGCTTTTTCTTCACAAGGGTCAAGGGCGTGCTGGAGCCTATCCCAGCGGTCTTCGGGCAGTAGGTGGGGTCCACCCTGAACCGGTTGGCAGCCAACCGCGGTCAGCATCTGACAGTTAGTGAAAATGAATAAATGAGGGGGATGAACGCACGATTCAACTCAACTTTATTTATAGAGCATTTTTAAACAACCGTGAGTGCATACAAAGCACTGTACATGTTGTAAAAATGTGTTTAAAAAATAAATTAATACACAAAAACAGGAAATGAGTCAGCGTGATTGTTCGTTGGTAGTCTAGCGAGTAGCATACCATTTGGGGTCTTTCCAAACAAACGGCCCAAGTAACTATGGCCCTTTGATTGACTTTATTAGGTCAGTGTACCTCCAACCTCTTGCCCAGACCTCAGATGGAAGGCTGAAGCTGCCCCGTGACCATGAAAAAGATACATGGTACAGAAAATGATGGATGGTATTTCAAACCTGATCAAACCTGTCAATTCAGCATGGGTGGGAATCTCAAACTGGCAGCGGTACCATACTTGATACATATGGAAACACTTCAGACCGTTCTAAAACAGGTCAAGTATGGTAATCATAAACCATCTGGAATACCAGAGGAACAATCCTGCAACATTTAGGGAACAGAAACTCTATTCAAGGAATTTGTCATTGTTCTGGCTGTGGAGATTATTTGTGTAGCCATGTGAGAGCAAGCTTTATGATTCCAAATAAATAAATAAAAGGTTATTGGGATGTTGCAATTGAATGCCCGACCAAATTTGTGGGATCTTTCGCCAGAGGCTCAGTCATGATACAGTTTGTGACAACACATACTACCGTATTTTCACGACTATAAGGCGCCATTAAAAGTCTTAAATTTTCTCCAAAATGGACAGGACGCCTTATAATGCGGAGCGTCTAGTGTATGCGCCGAGTTCCAAAGCCTGACTGAGAACACTTCTGGCCGACACGCTGTTTATATAGACAAAAAGGTGGACATGAGTGACGACAGGCATGCGGAAGTCCGCCAATGAGTGAAGGGTGGGCGTGTAAGAGGACGCTAAAGGCACGCCCCTAGCAGATACCAGTCACCAATGAGTGAAGGGTAGGCGTGTAAGCGGACGCTAAAGGCACGCCCCAAGCAGGTACCAGCTGCGTGAGTACATTGTAAAATGGCTAAATAAAGTACACCGAACTCAGTTTTGCTTCCGTTGCCTTTTTAAAAACGTGTTTTTAGCGTGTGTCCGTATGTCTTAGCTGCTACCGTATGCTTTAAGCTAACATACCTGGTATGTTTTAGCGTGCATGCATGCTACCGTATGCTTCAAGCTAACGTGTTTTTAGCGTGCGTACATGCATGCCATATGTTTAAGCTGGCGTATGTTTTACCAGGCCTGGCTGCGCCCAATAATACAGTGCATTTTGTGTATGTGTCAAATACAGAAATAGCACACGTTACTGAGACTGCGCCCAACAATACGGTGCGCCGAATAGTCGTGAAAATACGGTATATTTGTCATAAACAGCCATCACATTTTTTTTTCCTGCATATAAAATTGCTCAATAAGTTTTGACATTATGACAACTATTATCTGACCAGCGTCATTTTTAACTTTATTACTTCAGAGTGGAGGCTGCAAATGAAACAGTTTGAAGTCGCTCCTTGAGTAGTTAGGAAAAAGCGGCATGGATCAACAGGGGAGAAGAAGAATGGTAGCTTTTCTTTTGGTAACTATGTCTTTTGTAACCAAGCACAAATGGGAAAAAGTTGAGTCAGTGACTACAAGAGCAATGTTTTGAATTGGCACCACAGACGAGTAGAAAGTGTTGTGACAATCACTAGTTTCCAGCCCCAAGATCACAGAATTAATCTGAGAGTCTTTGTTTGAACAGACCATCTCAACGTTGTATCCGTGCTCCTTTTCATGTTGTGGACAAAGAGCACTGCTCAACGAGCACACTGAATTTTGTGCTCAAAAGCTTACATTGCGACAAACCATCAGAGAAGATTCGCCAGGTGCCAGTTTATATTCCGCGTCCTGATCATATGGTTACCTTGCAGTGGCAATTCTGTTGTTTGGCTTGTGCCAATACGAATAAGACTGTGCTCAACCTCTTAACAAAATGCAATCCACTTTATCACTGTGTAGATCCTGATACGCCTCAGAGCATTTGCACTTGCTCCTTGCCTCGTGTCTGAAGCGACAAAGTTCGGAGAGTAGGTAAACATGTGCCTGCACCTTGTGACTGGCCTCTCTGTGATGTCATCCAACTACCCTGCTACATGAGTAGGGAGTGGGCTTGCAATGTGTTCCCTTCTAAGATGCGACAATTGTCATTCTCACGTTAAGTCTGTAACTTGGATAGAAAGTGGACTTGGAAACGAACCGTGCCGTTCTGCATCGTTTTTCATCGATTATAACGTTTGAGAAATCGAGAGAAACCAAAATCGAAACCAAAATTCAAACTGAGGGCGTCCCGGTGGCCAGTGGTTAGCGTGTTGACCTCACAGTGCAGAGGTCGTGGGTTCGATCCCGGGTCGGGCCTTCCTGTGTGGAGTTTGCATGTTCTCCCCGGGCCTGCGTGGGTTTTCTCCAGGTACTCCGGTTTCCTCCCACATTCCAAAAGCATGCATGCATGGCAGGCTGATTGAACACTCCAAATTGTCATTAGGTGTGAGTGTGAGCGTGAATGGTTGTTCGTCTGTGTGTGCCCTGCGATTGGCTGGCAACCGGTTCAGGGTGTCCCCCTCCTACTGCCCGAAGACAGCTGGGATAGGCTCCAGCACCCCCTGCAACCCTTGTGAGGATAAAGCGGTTCGGAAAATGGATGGAATTCAAACTGATATTAATTGTCCAACCGTAGAGCCAAGCATCATCACTATAAAGGCATGGCCGCACCATCATCTGGACGTGAAATGGCAGACAGGCTCAAGCGCGCACAGCCGGCGCCTATGCTGAGTAAGGAGGCAGATCGGTGCAACTCACTTCACAATTATTAATAACATCTGGCACTAACAGCTGCCTTCTCACCAGCTGTGAAATGAAGGGCATGCTCGGGCAGCACACTGTTGACATTTACAGGTGGTTGTCACACTCTGAAAGTGATGAATGACGCTACTGGCGGACAAGAAGCAGGATGTAATGGACATTTTGGGCCCAGTAGTGCACATTATTGAGGCTACTTGCTTGATATTAGTCCCACTAATTTGTGTCAAAAAGGAAAAAAAAGGAAGACAGGCTGGAGTACAACTTTTCCAAATTAACCATTGGAATCAGATTTTGAGTGCGTTAAAGTCAGAACGAAACTGAAGCATTTTGATGTGCAAATGGACGATCTCATCGGCCCTCATCGTATCCACGCTGAAAAAAAGTACACAGCTGTGATTCATTTCACTTTTTTTTTTAAATTCAAATTGTTTCTATATATTTCTTTGTTCACATCCAGTGGACTTTCTAAATATAGTAATCTGTTTATGGTCAATGTGTATTTCTTTACTCAAACCAAATGTAAACAAGATGTCCTCTGCTCATGCAGGAGAATCCCGAGGTGGGAAAAAAAAAAAGGAAGGTTACCGATGACAGTGCATAGGTGCATGCCTAACTGTACACCTTCAAGCTTGCAGGAATTGTTTTAAAAGGCTTTAAGCCTCATGACAAAACAGCAGGTGCACTTTGTGCCATACTTAGCTACTCTCATGGTTTTCACAGGCTTGAACGTTAATGTAAAACAATAAATAAATAATAAACACTATTACAAAGCAATGTAAATCGTTGGTCACAATTTCCTAACAGAAAAAGATAGACGGACAAAAAAGATAGGACTAAAATTCAAAATTTCTTGACCACATTTCTTTTGTCAATATCTTCAACAGATAGGCAATACACAGAGGCTAAGTACGGTAAGCAAGCTACCAGACATCAAAACTTAATGAGAGGCACGACATGTGATCAGCCTGACAGAAATAAACGTTATCGTTGCTGTCACTTTTTAAATCGAGAAACATTTCCACATTTCACTATTATTGTGGCAGATCAGATGAGCGACTCATTCGCTGAGTTTTACGCTGCCTCAGGTCACTTCACTCACGTCTTGTGAGCAAAACAATACATTTTATTCAGCACATTTGTTTTTTGATGGCAATGTTGAACTGAGCAAATGACTCCAAACGTCCTACCTAACAAATATTGTTGGGTTTTTTTCCCATTTGCAGGGTGTACAGGAAAATTAACCTGGCTAAGTGGAGCACATCACCATGATGATTTTGTTACAGGGAAGGAGAGAACCCCTTTACACCAACCCAAAGACATTAAGATAGCCCTTGGTGGAACACAAATTATTGGATTTCAATTTTTTTCAAAGTCTTGTTAATAGAGCTATGCCAGCCATGTCGAGTAACAGGCAGAACAATCAAATCCTCTTCCACTAGATGACACATGTATCCGCTTTTTGTGAATTGTTTTGCTAAGTGGTGTGCTGTGATTTTTTTTTTTTCCCGATGTCAAACATGTACCTTGGCTTAATAACAGTTGGGAAACTGGTTTCAAGTAAATTGTGAGCCATTTTTGGCAGAAAAAAAAACTACATAAGGTGAGATTATGGAATTTGTTCCGAACATGAAGTCATGAATGCTTTCCAGGTTAAAAGCTATACCCCCCATCCCCCGCCCACGCCTATGATTTAGCGCTTTTAAAACTTTTTTAAAAAATTAATTTTTAGAACTATTTCTCTTGCACTCTCGGTTCTTTAATTTCACTATGCTACCTTTTATTTATGGATTTTGTTTCAAAGGCATTTTGGTCTTTATTTTTTTTTTAATGCTTTCAAAAGTTGAACTTGTAATTATGTGCTGCATAAATAAAGTTGCCTTGATCTTGTCTTGCATATTATTCCAAATGCATTAAAAAAAACAGACATAATTCAGGAATTATGACAGTTTTAAATCTTTGAGCCAAATTAAAACATATATACATTGTAACAAGTAATTTGGCTACCTCAATTCATTAGCTAGGGTTGCTTGTACGTCATATTGATGCAGACATGATTCACTTTGAAATGTTCAATTACCCGTAACTTAATTTATAAACAGGAGCAATAATGTCTCAACATAGTTTTGACCCATTGTTGACCTGGGACAAAATTCATGTTGTTGTCAAAAGGTATGATGGAAATTTTTCGAACTAAATTAGTTTCCCGTGATTTTGACACACACAAATGCAGGCATCCAACTCCTAAGATGTCCATGACCACTACGTACGTAAGGTGTGTCCACCAGGGAAAGCAACTTCCTGGGGCTGTGTGTTTTTGTCAGGGCACAAGCAAGCCTAAACATGCTTTTTAGGAACGACACGTCTTTTCAAGTTGGGTTTAATCATGATTCTCTCATTATTTCGATCCTTGAGGTTTTTTCCGGGCTCAGAGAGTAAAGAGTGTTCATGCGTCATGTAAGCGAAGGATTAGGAACAAAGACACTGCCCTGCTTTAGGTGCAGCCCAAATGATTCATTCCACGGGAACTGTTTACAAGGGGTGTGTAGACACAGGGATATGGAAGTGGTGAAATGTTCAAAATGGAGCTGGGCGATATGAAAAAAAAAAAATCTATCACAACATAGGCCATTTCCTAACACCATAAAGACATACCACAATATACATTTTCATTTTTGCTATTAAAAAAAAAAAATCATACAGCATACTATGACCGGTTACCTTTTCTCACTTTATTTTGAAATGACATTAAATAGACCTGTATCAAATGAGAAATGCATCCAGTGGTGCTGCAAAATCAAATGATCAAATGTAAAGAGAAGCACGATCGCCGTCATATTTTTATCCAAATGTCGCCATCAATGTAAACGGGAGGCATACAAAAATGTTTCTGTACTGTGATGTAATTTTGAGAACATTTATTGTGCAGACTTTAAAACTCAGGACTCTTGTGGAAAAAAAAATCACATTAGTCATAAATGTCTTCAATATACTATTTTCTTTATCACTTATCCATCCATCCGTTTTCTACTCCGTTATTCCTCACGAGGGTCGTGGGCATAATGGAGCCTATCCCTGCTGTCTTCTAGTCGGCAGGTCGAGATGACATCAGTGCTACCTACGCCGTAGCAGCTCGCTAGTAATGAGCTACAGCTGGCTACTACTGTGCATAAACACGTTGCAGTTTTGCTCTTAAATCAGTAATTACAGCCTCCATGGCGGCGAATAATCACAAAAGGATTATGAGGAGTAATTAACAGAGGGAAAGATGTTATAGTGAAAGACTGAAATTAAGTGCTTGCGTGACTTAGCACACTCGACAAGAGGTCTCGGTGGAAGCGCTTTGTGTGTCCAATTTTGAACAGCAAAGAAGTGTAATAAGTGTCAGGCGAGAAAATTATGCAAAATAATCCGACACACAGCTAAACAGGAAATGATTGTTTTGGTATATCGTATGTCACCTGAGCCAAAAAGGAACCAGAATTGGACATGTTCAAATTCAAACAATGCCCAACCCCATTCACCGTTCACTCTGCCAAGGCCAAACATTAAAGGTCATAGAAGCAGCTGCTGAAGCAAATGGAAAGAAGTGCAAAAAGTACAAATAATCAAGAAAATGTGAGCCACCAAACACAATGTTTTCAAGCCTTGGGGCATATCCATTGCCAGAATTTCTGTGGTGACTGTCGAGCATCAGCGGCAACATGCGGCATGGGCAAACCGAATAAAACAACAGTGACTACATCAAACAATTTGTATATTTACTCAAAGGTTGACCTACGCCATAGCGAAAATGCATTGGAATAAAATGATCATTAAACCACCCCGTACCCAAATTATTTTAAAACACTGATTAACATTAAATATAACATTTATATTATGAGATATATAGTACATGATGTTGACATGTTCACATAATTTCCTTCCCTGACATGAATAAAAAATAAAAGCATGAACATCGCTAGCCATTCAGGTCCATACACTTATTTAGCATCTACACCAAGTACTAGCCTGCTTCTTTTCGGCTCATATTGAAAGCTGGCTGTGTTGTACTATTTTCTCCTGAATTGTTTGTCCATTTTTTACCTGCCGTATGTGACATAGTAAGCACATTCTTAGAATCATCTGACTGCAATTCAGCTGGACAGATTCAAAAACTGGATTGATTTTATATGTATTAGGTTGTGAGCATGGCTCAAATCACGTTCGGTACGAACGCAGTTTATCTCGTATCCTTGGTTAAGCAAACATTTTGTGTGTCTGTCAACAGCTACGCTATTTCTGTGTTAGTTCAAACAACACGCCTGCCTCTTGATTGCATCCGTGAATGGCTGAATCTGCGTGGCCGGATGTTCAGATAATAAAAGCTATTTTGAATTCAAGAGATGTTAAAATTAAATAAATGAGATGCACACACACACACACACACACACACACACACACACACACACACACACACACACACACACACACACACACAACCCCAGAGTGAAAGAGGTTGTGTTTACTGTCAAATCTTATTTTGCAGATCCGATCGATGACAATAGATCACCCAAATTATGACATTACAATCAATCACCTATTTTGCATAAAATGCATGTTATCTCATGAAGTCTTGAAGGTTCGCAATTAATATTTCCACCATGTACACCTGTACCAGGATATGCACTGACATTGTGTCCTTCCTCGGCCCTCTACAATAGTTTCTGGAAATTTCTTTGTAGTTTTGCAAAATCCTGCAAACTAATTTAAGTGTCTGTCAAATGGCAAACTCTTGTAGCCTTTTAGACAAATTGAGTCTTTTTTATGCATTTATCTTTGTTAGTAATGCGTGCTGGCTACATACAGTCTCAATAAACGGGGAGACTAAAAATCTTTCAATGGCTGAACTACAGCGGGGCCTCGGTATACGACGACTCCCTCATTTGTCATTTTCAGCACGACGGCGTCACGGGGCCCATGAGAAATTACTGCCATGCTACCGCTGCACTTACTGTTCGGAATTTGTTTGTTTTGGTCTAGAAATGTTCCTCTTAGAAATATTTTCCCGAATTATGACATTAATACTGCGTATGGGTTGGGTGATTAAGGACTAATGCGCGTTCCGACTTACGTACACGTGCTTCATTTTTAAGTGTGCGTCAAGAAAGAAGAAATGTGCTTTTTTTCTTGGACATCTTACAAGGAAATTGCATGTTGCAAGCTACGTGGTCAAGTACGTGAACACAATTTGGCAGTATCTTAAACAGAAAAGAAGGGCAGGAATGCAACAATAGCGTCCGTGGCTTCCCAGCTCTTGAGCTCTTTCGACCCTAATGCTGCAGTGCACCGCCGCCATCTTACTTCGCTTTTCTCCCATCAAACGACTGAAATGCCTCGCTTTGTCAGTCACATTGTTCATTTTGTCGCGTCTACGCGGTCGCTTTGCTTGGCGTCTTAACGCCATGGGGATCTTTAACACTTTATGCGTAAATCGTGTAGCCTCATTTCACATCAAAACACGCCCACTCGCCTAAAATTAGTATTCGGTTCCTAGACAAGGGTACAAAACGCTTTTCACTGAATAACCGGAACATTATTTGTAACCAACGGAAAAGGCACTCTGTCACGTTTACTCGTAGCAAGATAAATGTGGCAGGGTATAAATTCACTGACACTACCGTCAAATGTAAGCTACTTCTCCGAGGTTAAAAATCAAAACATAAATTCGAATGGTCGGAAGGAGGAGGGGGCTGCTGCCACAGGTTTTACCTGAGGCTTTCACCACAATAAAAAAGGAACTCATGTAGTCACACAACATGATTGCATTACGTGGCATCCGCATCTCTCATATTTATCGCTTGATCACAATTTGAATGCGGTTTCTGCTTGGCCGAACATAAAGTCAATTTCGGTGTTGGACAAGCCAATGCCTAAGGTACACTTCCGGTTCTTTTACAGTTAAAATAGCCATCATCTCCAAAATGGTATGTTATAGCCGAGCTTTGATATATAAGGGTCCACGTGACCAAATGTTATAAGAATGTAGTTTCTACCGTTTGCCAGCCAATGGCCATTCGCAGCCCGTTGGGGTCTTCCTTGATGATAAGATTCAGGTGTTGTGAAAGGCTTGGACGCAGAGGTTCCGGTCCGGCTGTGGCTAACATTAGCGGGTTTCGTTCCAATGACAGCCGCATTGTAACGGAATGAAAACAGCTTCTTACCTCGGCAGCCAGAGTCACCGCCACAATGGCCAGCAGCATTAAAGCCACTCGATCCCCCATGTCGTTTCGTGGACACGACGCTCCCGTGGGCACTAGTTCTCCGAACAGTTACACGTTTCGTGGGTACGCGACTACGTGCGTTCAGCGCCTGCAACGTCTCCCGTTGTCAGACTCGGCTCGAGACCTGAGCTGCACAGCTGCTCTGTGTCGGATCACGTGACCACGGAGGAGTGGGATAAGCGCGAACATCCCAGCTGTCGTCATCGAGCCGCGCGCGTTCACGCAGGTATCCACTTTGTCCGAGTCTGTCTTTCGGTCAGAAAAAAAGCAAAAATTTGGAAATAATTCCTAATCAAGATAGTTCTATTCTTTCCAAATGTTTCCAAACACATGAAATGATTCAAATTCAACTCTTGGGGGAAAACTGTGGGAACTGCTGGTAGTTGGCATGCGCGCGCGCGCACACACGCACACGCACACACACACGCGCCTCGAAAAAATATAGGTAACACTAAAAACACATCCTAAATCTGAATGAATGAAATATTCTTATTAAATACTTTGTTCTTTACATAGTTGAATGTAAAATTATCAATGGAAAAAAAATTCACCCACGGGGGTCTGGATTTGGAGTCAAACACAAAATTATATTGGAAAAACATACTACAGGCTGATCCAACTTTGATGTAATATTCTTAAAACAAGTCAAAATGAGGCTCAGAAGTGTGTGTGGCCTCCACATGTTTGTATGACCTCCCAACAATGCCTCGGCATGGTCCTGATGATATGGCGGGTGGTCTCCTGAGGAATCTCCTCCCAGACCTGGACTAAAGGATCCGCCAACTCCTGGACAGTCTGTGGTGCAATGTGGCATTGGTGGACGGAGTGAGACATTGTGTTCCAGATGTGCTCAATTGTATTCAGGTCTGCAGAACAGGCAGGCCAGTCCATAGCATAAATGCCTTTGTCTTGCAGGAACTGCTGACACACTCCATCCACATGAGGTCTTGCATTAGGAGAAACCCAGGGCCAACCGCACCAGCATATAATCTCACAAGGGGTGTGATGATCTCATCTCCGTACCTAATGGAAGTCAGGCTACCTCTAGTGAGGAGATGGAGGCCTGTGCGCACCCCCACCCCCACCCCCAAAGAAATGCCACCCCACACAATTACTGACCCACTGCCAAACCGGTCATGCTGGAGGATGTTGCAGGCAGCATAATGTTCTCCACGGACTTTGTCACATGTGCTCAGTGTGAACCTGCTTTCATCTGTGAAGAGCAAAGGTTGCCAGTGGCAAATTTGCCAATCTTGGTGTTCTCTGGCAAATGTCAAACGTCCTGCACAGTGTTGAGCTGTAAGCACAACCACCGCCTGTGGCCCTCATACCACCCTCATGGAGTCTGTTTCTTACCACCCTCATGGAGTCTGTTTCTGGCCGTTTGAGTAGATACATGCACACTTGTGGCCGGCTGGAGGTAATTTTGCAGGGCTCTCGCAGTGCTCCTCCTATTCCTCCTTGCACAAAGGCGGAGGTAGCGGACCTGCTGCTGGGTTGTTACCCTCCTACAGACTTCTCCACATCTCTTAATGTACTGGCCTGTTTCCTGGTAGAGCTCCATGCTCTGGACACAACGTTGACAGACACAGCAATTGATGTACCGTCCTGGTTGAACTGCACTACCTGAGCCCCTTGTGTGGGTTGAAGACTCTGTCTCATGCTACCACTCGATTGGAAGCACTGCCAGGATTGAAAAGTGACCAAATCATCAGCCAGAAAATATGCTGAGAAGTGGTCTGTTGTCACCACCATTCTGTGTGTGTGTGTGTGTGTGTGTAACAAAGAAGAATGGTTACAATAAACATAAAAGAACAAACACTTTTTTTCTATTTAATATTCTAGGGCAGGGGTGTCAAACTCATTTCACATGGTGGGCCACATACGGCCTGGGTAGATGTCAAGTGGGCCAGACCATTAAAATGATACCATACTTTGCTATAAATAACCAAAACAATATGTCTTTCCTTTGTTTTGGTATAAAGAAGCACAAGAACATTAGGAAAATGTTGAAATTAAATGAACATATCTTTTACAAAACATTTCATGAAGCACCTTACATTTCCTTCGACAAATGTGCAATTTACTTTTATCATTCACATATATGCATTGCAACTGATCCCACTGATTGTACAAACTTTAACAAGTAATTGGTTTTGAAAAATATAGTAATGCACTTTAAGATTAAACGAGATTTATAAAGAAAGGAAGTTTTAAACCATTTACACGTGCATATAAAATCTAAATGTAATCCCTGCCTACACCTTACAAACTAAGGAGCGTGCTATTAAATGTGTAAATGTGAGAGTGCTATTGATAGCGTCTGCTGTCATGGGTCTGTCTCAGTGATGGACTGAGGCTGCTGTTGTCTTCTTCTCTGATCAAAACAGTGTCCCCTAGCGGATACTCAATGAATTGCACCTTATTAAAAATATTTATTCTGTGTCTTTTATGCATTTTCTTCACTTTTAAATTATCCTGTGGGCCTGATGGAACGGCCCGCGGACCGTATGTTTGACACCACTGCTTTACATAATCATCTCGCGGGCCGGATTAAAGTCCTTTGGGGGCCGGATCCGGCCCGCGGGCCGTACGTTTGACACCCATGTACTAGGGTAAAAATATATATATTTTAGAAGGAGTCTTCATTTTTATTCAGTAATTAAATGTTCCTTTCTGAGTTTTGAATTTCAAAATGGGATCAGTTTGACCTTTTAGGGTTAACAGCACACATTCACGTTGGCAATGAAAAAACAGGAAGAAGCTGAGAAAGAAACCCAGTTGACTATTGCTGCCACATTTTGTTGCATCTTGAATTCACAATACCAATAATTAAAGCCAAGAGAGGCAGTCATTTCTGCACTAAAAACTGTTACGTCCCATCCACCATTCAGAGTCACTTTGCAATCACATTATTAAAACAGCAGTTTGAATCAGCACGACTTGCACTTCATGTGATAAATGTTTCACAATATTGAAGTTTCAGAATGACTCAGCATGTGACCTCAATTCACCCTAATTTTTTTTCACATTGTTTCAAGTAAAAATGGGAAAAGAAATATCATTTTCTACCCTGCCTTGCTTTGTTCAGATGGAAAATGCGTTTTCCATCTGGTTACATTCCAGAAACAAGGACTGATGAAAGAATTAAAAAATGAATTGAAAAAACCCGATGTCTTAAGAGTGTGACGATTTTCTTCCTGGTGTTCACTCATATGCTTGGAAAAGTAGTCCATTCACCCATTTCCCCTCAATTTTAAAAAAAGGCAGCTCAGACCCTTTGAAGTGCACAGCCAGAGCCTAATAAGCGTTTGGTTATGGCTGCAGGCTAGCACAGCAAGTTGCAGTGCCTCATTGTCCTTTCCGACATCGTATTCAATTATTATTAATTTCTTCAACGCCATGGTCGTTTTTCATCTACTCAGCGGAACAGTTCACCGCTCAGCTAACCCGAGTGCTAAATCATTATTGCACTGAGCCCTGCTCGACACACCTGAGGTCATTCTCTTGCTTTCATAACCAGGCCACGAGAGCTTCATTTCAGTCACTAGTTGAAGATCCATGCAATCATTTGTTCGTGCACCTCGAGTAACGAAGACATGGGGAGTAGCTGGCCGGCCCTGACTGAATCGATGTGAAAGGTGGAGGGTGCATCTCAACGTCGCAGGTGTATGGAGGTGGCGGACCTGGGGAGAATACAAAAAAAAAGTACAGATAGCTTTTGCTCAAATATTTTGTCAAACCATGTCCGTGATCACATCAATATGTTGCTTCTTGTAATAGACGTAACGATTACGTTATATTGCACCGTCAGCCTACATTACTTAACCGTTACCTCGGGTTGCTGTGGTTGGCTTTCCATTTCAAAACAGTCCCGCAAGGGTAAGAAAGCGGTATAGAAAATAAATTGATGGATGAAACAGTGAAACCGATATTAATTAGAACGAAACACGTTCACAAATAATGGAGAAGTAACAAATGTCGTCGTCCCCCCCCCCCCACCGCAATGTAGGGCTATGGTCATCTTCAGGAGACTGATGCCAGTAAGAAAAATATGATTTGTTGTGTGACACTGCAGGAGCCTGAGCGAAAGGAAAATAATAGGTAACATTATCTATGCTAAAAGGTAGAGATGCGCGGATAAATATCGGCTATATCAGTGTTTTTTTTTAATACTTTTTTTACCTTTTTAATAAATTATAAATTCATCCGATTCCTAAATAAGGAACCTTTGTCTCTCAGATTTAGTTAAAGCATGTTAACTTTCACGTCACCACAATGATCTTTCCTTTTGTACATTTAATGTCAAATATTCTGGAATAAACCCCTACAATGCTGCGCCTCATTTTATGAAACGTTTCTGTCCTCTAGCGGTCAAGCAGTAGAGCCGCATATGATACACGTAATTCCGGCACGGTTGCTTTCAATTATCCACTGAAATATCACAGGAGCTGAGACGAAAGGAAAATGAGTTTGTCAACCCCAGCTCCAACTTGAAGCCTTACTGGAAGTCACGTTTTTCTTAACACCGGCAGTTCAGGCCCCTGGCAGTTGAAATAAAAAATGCCAGGCAAGGATCTTTGAAAATATGATCTCGACTTCTAGTTTCAAAAAAAAAAAAAAAAATCCAAGGTGGGGGTGATTTTTCATTCTTCTAACCACTTCAAGCGCTGC